ATTTGATTTTTTTGAACAAGTGATTTTTTTTTATCTTAACGTACAGAAAATATAAACTTGAACGTATCAACGTTTTAAGTTTATCTGCACTTATCAAGAAACTACAAGCCAGCCTTTCCCAAATACCTGACAGCCAAGGCGCAACCTAAGCCAAGCGCAGCCAAGACCCACCTGACGCAGTCCTCGCCTTCGGCGGGAAAGGAATAGGCAGAAGCGACAGAAAGGGGAGACTGTTTCCAACGCTATAACGAAGCTTTTGGCTGTTCACGAAAGGCGAAGGAAGTGCTTAGTATTTATTTCATATTCACGTACAATAATAATTAATTAATTCTTTTGATTAAGATCACAATAGCACGTTAGCCCAAAGAACAATTAAAAACATTATTCGATTACAATGAATGAACATGCTGGCAAGAAAAAACCAGGAGAATCAGGGGGGATATAGGCAACCCGCTCATTCAGTTCATAGCGTGCTGCGGCCAACACATTGCTCCGTCACAGTTTTCTTGGTAACATCACGCTCGTCCCAGAATGTCCCCTATCCAAACATATGCCCATGTTAAAATTACAAAAGTGTTCCCACAAAGGTTTTGAACATTGTAACCCGCATACGTGAACTTAACGTAACGTTCACCACATCGTAACGTCACCACAACTGGCGTTGGAACCAGCCGTTGAACCTTTGGCCAGATGTACACCCTACGACTAACGACATTTGCAATCAGGACGTATAACAAACTGAAAAACGGCTTCAGGTCAACATTGATATTTGGTCATTTTCTTACTTTACGTTGAACTGACTCTTAAGTATTTAATTAATTATTAGTTTTTAATTCAGGAAATATTATAGTTTTGAAGCATTTTTGGAGAGCTTCTGAATATATTTGATCATATTTTAAAACTCATTAAGTATGTGTTATATTATCAAAATATTTGAACATATTAAATACGTGGGGTACAATGACGTAATTGAATCTTACGGAAGACAATCTTGTTTCTACAGTGAAGTAATTATCTCTTCTTTTGTGTTAAATAATGTCAAACATTTGAAGGTAGTGGAAAATGAGGTATTTATAACATTTAGTTTCCATGTGCTTACCGTTCGAACATTTATATTATCTTGTTAAAAAGAATAGTTCTATACAAAAATCGAAATTCAAATCAATAGAAGAGGATGAAATTATTGAACAATGCTTCACGTCAACATTGATATTTGGTCATTTTCTTACTTTACGTTGAACTGACTCTTAAGTATTTAATTAATTATTAGTGTAGATTGAAAATTTAGATTGCACATTTTATAGAATCCATATCTTGCCAAACTGGTTCATAAAATACAAATGTTCAACTGACATTCGATTAACATCAATAATTCTTTCATTATCTTGGAATCGGTGGCTAACAATGTTGAATCTTAGTTGAGGAATTCTACTTACACATGCTTAAGGCTTTGAATGAAACTTGTCAAGATAATTAACTTATTATTTTTCTGAAAATTCTTGAATATGGACTATTGATACTCAGGAAACTATAGATAATCGTCACCATACTACATTATACATCACACATATTACACTATACTATATTGATAGTGTAGTGTAATATGTATGATTATATGTACTATAGATAATCGTCAATTTTAGTGTCCTAACCCGATACACACAGATATAATGTTTTCAAAGCCTTAGTCCGATTTGTTGCTTGAAAACTTCGTAATTTCTTCATCGCGCGTTGGTTTATTTTTGGACAGAGGTTTCCCTTTCCATGTAGTTTTGCTATTCCAATTTTGTCACTTCTTACAACTTTGTGAGCTGTCAGACCAAAATTCTACGAAAACTGTTATGCAACGGACATTAAAATTTGGTTGTTATAAGATGTAAATTAAATAACACCGAATATCTCCTCGATAATAGTTGGAACCAACTAATAATTGTATGGATTTACGTGAGGTCTCGATATCACACAAACTTTGAAAAACTAGTACTCAAATATTTTCGGAAAATGTTGCCAGAAATGCTTCAACTTTTCCCCAAAACTTCTCAAACACTTATTTTAATTAAGCACAATTATTTGCTGTTTTCAACATTAAAAAGGAACCATTGGATCCAAATATTGATTTTTCTAAAGTTACGGACCTCTTTTAGTAACGATCTCGTTTCCATCACTTTGATCAATTTGACATATTAACATTAGAAAACACGGAAAAAATATTGTGTTTATACTACATTAAAAGGATGATTTTTGTAAAAATATTTTGGATATACCGTTCCCTACTTTTGAAGTTTAATATAGCTCATTTTATTTCTATTCTAGAAAAAAATATACAATTTTATTAAGTTAATCGTAAATTATCATGAAAAAAATGTTCGTTAGGAATAATTTCATATGTACGGGATACCACATTAAAACACCATTAATTGACCAAAAAACTCAAATGTCCATCCCGTTTGTGCAAATCGCATCCAGTACACGAATGGAATCCTTCGAATAAAACCCAAAATGTGACCAGTGAGGCGAGGTTTGCCTCACTGAGCAGGGGCGATCCGCGCAGAGCTTCGCCTCCTGGGCTGAGGGCAATGCAGCCATTGCGGCGAGGGCCGAAGGCCGCCAGAGGAAAGCGTAGCGGCGCAGGCGCCGAACAGAGCGCGTGGAGAGGGTTTCTCTCTCTCTCTCTCCGCCTCTGTCTGCGCCCGCTCGTCTCCGCCGCCGCCTTTGAGCGGTATCTGGGGCACGGTGGAAGCATCAAGCCCACTGCGAGGCGGGATCGCCACCTGCTCTTACAGGTGCCTGGCGATCCGGATACGGCCAACACTTCGCCCTCTGCGGCAAACCATCGCCCACCCATGTTAGAACGCCTCTCTTTTCTTCCTTTTCATTTATTCATGTTCTTTGCAGAAATAAATACTTTTCTTGGTTTTTATCGTTTCTGAATATGTTTACTGAAATATTTAGCCTCATCCCACTGCGGGCTGTTTCCATCCGAATTAAAAAAAAAAGCATCCTCTTCCTGCCCCTGCAGCGCGGGCGGGGGCGGGGGCGGGGGCGCGTGCCCCCTTCTGGAAAAATCGCGCTCCTCCGCGTCGCGTCGCGTCGCGTCGCCCCCCTCTGCGGAGCCCCGCGCTGCCGCCTTCGGCTAGGCGCCACACGCCTCCTCAGCGCCCAACGCCTACGCCAACGCCGTGCGTGCCGCAAGTGCGTCCCGTCCCGAGCGTGGTCCCATTCCATTCCAGCCCTTCTTCAGCACTTGGGGCTCAGTTCTTTGAGCGATATTAATATAAAATTTATTTCAAGGACATTTTAACCGTTTATTTTATGTTTAAAAATAACAATTTTGATCTCAATACTCGGATGTACAATCTGTATGTCATGGAGAATAACTAACATAGCAAGTAGTCTTGAAAACGGCTGCAAATTCAGTATTTGTGTCCATTTCTTTAACTTCCGGAAGATTAGAGAGGAGTTTGATCAGTAGGGTTGAGGGTTGATTCTCCGGCTGTGAGTAGCGAGGAACCTCACGGTGTGCCTAATCGCGCTCCTTCACCCCGAAGGCCGAGGAAGGGCAGCGAACGTCACGCGGGACCCTTGGCCAATCACGCTCCCTTCGCGACCTCCGAGCACGGGGGCAATCCAGCAGAGTTTCTCCAGAGATCGTAAACGGGCCGATATTGCAGGGCATCATAACTTCCCTGAAAGAGCGATATCGGCAAGGACGAGTGCGGCGGAGCACAAAGGTCGAACGCGCGCCCAGCGCCCGAAGCGAAACCAGCCGCGCAGTCACTGGCGCAGGGGCTAGTACGAGCCGTCTAGTACGCCGCCTCACGAAAATCAAATGTCTCGTGAAGATGCGGTTACGCTCCCAGTCTCGCCTCGTCCTTGCCTTCGTCCTCGGCTCGACCTCGTCGCGGCGGCGGCGGCGGCTGGTCCGCGCGGATCCCTGCAACGGCGGCGCCGCGACGCAACCCATCGATTTTGCCACCGGCGCCTCGCTCCACACATCGATCCGCATAAACACGTTCGGCCCCAAATTCTCCGCGCGGCAGCGTAGGGCCCCGACAGCCGAGAGCCCGCGGCCAGGGGACCTTAAGGGCCAAAGGGCCCGTGGCCCCCTGTCGCAGCGTCCGTATCGGCGCCCTCGCGGCCGCCTCTGCAGCGGCCTGCCGTTTCGAATCGGCGGCCGCGGCGGAGTCGCTGGCGGCGACGGGACGCTGCGCGCTTCAGACTTACACACACAGGCGCCAGGGCATGCTTCGCGACGAAGCGCAATTCGAACTCACCAATGCAGGCCAGAGGAGGTTGAGGCTCCCAATTCTAAGTGTATGTCACACGTTCCCGTTCTCCTTGTACCTCTCCATTCACTCGCAACAACGTCGGAATTATAAAATAACAGTAACAAATAACTTCTTAATAAAATAACACAATTTCAACATGCGTAGCCTTGTTTTTTCTATCACCCTCCCGATGTTCCGTTCAAGTCCCTGTCTTTGCTGCAACCTGCATCGCAACTGTTTACCGCAGCGCTGACCGTCACGCAGCGGGCAAAATTAGAAGCTGAGCGCGCATCGATTACTTACGGAACCTCACGAGTTCTCCCGAAGATGGAACGGATAATCGTTCTTGTCGGCATAGCAGTCTCTAACCAAAGGAAAATAGAACGTGCCCTCCCTTTCTCGGGACGAACGCAGACGATGCCGATAAATGGACACCATATCAGTTTCGCATTGTCTTTTTGATTCATCGCGTCTTTCAATAAAAGGGAAGAAACAATTCTCGACATTTCTTTCCCTTCTCGACAATATTAGTTCATGAGGTGACGGGTATATAGCAATACTTAGCAATTAACTCTATTTCTAGTTAAAATGCCTTCATTTTGATTTTTTTAAATGCAATTTCTCTATTTCGAATTTATATCAAAACTGCGCTTAGCATTCAATTCAATTACTTTTCCTTAGTGGTTGTGGGAATTTGGGTTGCAATAAGGAAGTTTCAATACAAAAACAAAATTATAAGATAGTATTTTATTATAATACAGTAACATATAAGACAGTACCGTACAGAAAATATAGTTCACTTGCCTGAATTATCGGACGGCACTTCACAGCCATAATAGTGTTCATTAAGAAAATAAATCTGTCAATAACACTCATAGGCCATCCCAAAAACTCAACCAGTAAACATAGCCCTTCATACAATAACCAAATACAGTGTTACTTCAGTGTTTCAAATCACGGCTTAATGTGAGCAATGTGCCATTCACTATTATTTACCAATTACATTCTATCAATCTAAAATAGCAAGCTCAAAAGCATTACACAAAGAACAAAGAAGTTAATAAGCATACATTATCATTACCAAGCAAAAATTACAATATTTTTGTTTGTTTTTTAATACAAAAATGTTGAAATAAAGAAAAAACACAAAATTCAAATTTCTCAAAACTAAATCCAAAAATGGCTAACATTATACCATGTTTCTTATATTCAAATATAAATTTTGATCCCTGATCTTCTAATCTTTATTAATTATGACAAAACTAATTCTAGAAACATTGAACATTTCTCTTTATATCTGTACTACACTCATCGAAATATTCATAATTTTCAGTACATAAAAACAAGGGCAAATAGCTTTCTAATCTTATCAGAACCACAAAAAACAAAAACAAAAAACAATTAAGTGATATCTCTTTACAACATGTTTTCAGGATGTATCTATATGGAAATAGTGCCCCGAAACTTTTTTCTTAATATTGTAAAGATATGTTCAACACTTGTTCAACCTTTACATTCATAACAATTTCTGAATTTACTTCTCACAACCAACTAGTGTGCAATTTACTTCTGAAATAGGCCACTGATATACATACTGTAACATCCAGTCACTATAGGCTAGTTTTATCTAAAACAACTACATGTGATATGTGATTAATATTTATTTAAAGTATTTAAAGTTTCATTATTTTAGAATATTGACATTTTTTTCTTTTATACTGGAGTAATTGGACGAATAAATCTGATAACATCAACGTTCAGCTCTTCAAACTTCCTTTTTTGAATATACCAAGTCAATACATAGAAACAGGAATACTCTAGATTAAGAACTTACACTCTAACCTTCAGAAACCACTTCATCCAAGTGAATGTATATGTAGCAACAACCTACAGTATAAAATGTAGGTATATTTGAGAATCAACAGGGTAACTTACTAATCAAAAGCATGAATGAACGTTGTGGAAATGTGTATTCAGATTTTCTATTCTAAGAACATTATTTTTGCCATTATTATCTATTTGAATTTCACAGTCAATGATGAGATCATTAAATCTTTATTAAATCAAAGATTTTAAAATAAATATAATATTATTATGTAGCTCACTAAGTTGTAATCAAACATACACCAGATGTTAATAGCCTTGTGGCTTTCACTACACAGAGAAACAAGTCTTTGTATCAGGATGCAAAGAAACAATTGTTAAGGTTGAGAGTATTTCATGTATTTACACTTTTCAACATACAATCCAATTAGGCTTCTCCCACCTAGCACAGTTTGAAAAATGTGCCAAACAGTACACTGAACAATTCCAAAATGAAGCAGTATTTCATATTCCTCCTTTGTACCTATACACACTTACAACTTAGACAATTGTCATTTCTCAAACTTCAAGGCTCTTAAGACAGTATTATAACAATAACAATCAAAAAGAAATATCAACACCCTGTGCATTCTTTCCATTAGCTATTACACTCAATTAGAAAGCCATTATGACTTTTGATTTTTGAAAATAGCATCTAATAGATTTATTACAATTTAAATATTTGATTTTAGCTAATTCTTCTACCAAAAATTGCAATGAAATTATAAATCTTCTCCTATCTGGAAGTTTAGTTTTCTGAATCATAAAATAAAATAATTTTATCAAGCACAGTCATCTTAACTCTGCAATCAAATATGCAAGTTCAAATAAATATTAAAAGAATGAGAATATAAAAAGATTATGTCATGGGTGCAATAATAAAACAGGTGCACTATTACTCTCTTATATATTAGTTGGAGCTCCATGTTTAACTTGGTTTACAAATCTATTTAAGTTGCCAGAGTAAAACTGTACACTTAAGAAGTAACAAGATTACTTTCAACCACGGAAAAACCCTTCAAAAATTAGGGGTAATTTTTTACAAAAAGATCTTGACATGTCTAGTAAGTACTGATATAAAAAGAATTCTGCATAACACCAACATTGTCAAAAAAAGAGTAGATATGATGAACATTTTCAAGTTTGTCAAATCAAAAAACATACAATCTGACAATAAAAAATCAAACCCAATAATGACACAAAGCATATGTATGAGTAGTACTTTTTTAACCACTGACAGCAAAATTGTGGAGCAAAAGTTTTAAATTATCACCACAATCATCTATATAACAGGTTATAATCAATATGGTTGAACTGATATAAGAGGATCAATAACATTAGATTTGCACAAAAAACTCAAGGCTAACAACATTCACATTGCATAACTTATAATAAATACTGACAGTGAGTATTACTTTATCACAATGAACATTTTATATAGAAACTAATGTGGTCCACAAACCAGTAACATGAATAGTATAACTCCCTGTATTATTGTTCACTTAACAGAGATACAAAACATTGCATTGAAATAAATACCAACAATATTGGTCTCTAGATAGATTCTTTGAAAAGAACCTTTTTATGGTCACTACACACATGAACACCAAAAATTCACACAGAAATACATATAATAAACACAGCAAAACTTGAAAAAGGATTGTGATAAAAGTGCCAAAATGTCTTTCATTTTTACTGTTACATGTACCCCGCCTCATACTCTTGTCTCTTGGACTCATTGTCTCTTGGGTCTTTATCGACCCAGGAAAAGGTCATCTTTCTTGCGAGAAACACGTCGAATAAGCATTACAAGGCCACTGACAATAATTAAAAGAGCAGGAAGTCCTAGGCCAATGCTGATCACCAGAATCACCAGGAGAGAAAAGTCTTCATCTGGTGGCTTTCCATATCCCATTGTGAATGTCCTGCAAAAATGAACAACATTGAATTTTTAAGATACATCCATTAACCTAATAGAAATTTGCATGAAAAAGTACTGATTAAACTTGTTTAAAGTTTTGTTTCATTTAGGTTAAATTATTGTCAATCTGATTATTGGCAGAGTATGATAATTCAGGGTTTCACCAATGTATTCATAAGTCCATTGAAACCATCAAAGAGACTTGTTTTTCTACAATTCTCACAAAATCCTCCATGGAACCGGCTAAGAATTGGGCCATTTGATGTCTTATAGAGAGGAAGTGAATGTTGATCTCCTCTGTAGGTGCCGTGAATCACCCAAAACACATTTTAGTTACTTAAAAAAACATAATTTAGACAAATTTGTAAGATTTAATTGGCTGTATCCACAAATAAATTATCAGTTCCCCATCAGGATATCGACACGCTTCGAATGACATCTCATTTGTGTCGATTGGTGGGCCAGAAGCAGTCAACCTTGACTGATGGACTCACGCAAGTTGCTCAATTTCTATAAAATAATATAATACATTTTTAGTTTATTATTCAAACACAACATCTTGCATGCGAATAGTAATGATCAGGGAAGTTATTTCAATACTCCCATTTGTTATACATTGTTTATTTCCTCCTAGTCCTAATTGTGACAGAATCAGTGGCTAGGCACCTATGGTATTATGGGCAGAAATACTCATATGTTTTACAAACATACAATTTTGTCTATCTTTCCTAAGCAGATCTGCAAAATCACTTCTTTCAAAGGATCTTTCTTCATACTCTTAGGTGAGTTAATCCAAAGAACTTTATTTCTTGTTAGCGGGTATAAATTGTGAAATACTTCATGGTGTAACAAACTTTGAGACTTAACAATATCAAATTCTCGAGTAGCCACAAACAAAGTTCTGTAATACATATTAAGAGATAACACTTGAAACTATCCCCTTCTGAATTCTGACAAAATGCTCCCGAATTAAGGAAAATGTTTCACACATGGCCCACCAGATATCATTCCAATACCTCAGTGAATTTTCAGTTCACTCAAAACGACGATCATGTTTCTCTGAAGGCCAACATTCTTCCTTAGTATTGTTGTGCTGTAGTAATTATGTAATAGTAAATGAGAGCAAATGTGAACATGCCAACAAGTTCGGTTCACGAGGAGCGGTGCCCCGTGCCAGACTGCTCTCGGAACTTTCTTTGGAGCTCTGGTTGCAATTAATTAATTGTCGTTAATTAATTAATTAATTGATCCATTCATTCATTCCTTCGTTTCTGGATGCGTCATCCCCTATGATCGTGAAGTATAAGCAGCCGTAAATGTAAGTTATGGCCGTAATAGTATGTTATATTCAGAGAGGGGCGGTGTTCCTATCATGCTGGGACGTGAGGTCCGGCCTTCACCTTAAACGTTGGCTTGTGGGGCTTTCCCTGTACGGGTATCTCCCCAGCGAGGTACTGTCGCAACCGGGACAAGCGAAGCTCACGACTGATCTTAACGACGTGTGTGGTTGTGTTGTGCTTTAACACACACGCGCGCGCGCACGTGTGTATGTAAATAGGGGGTGGGGGAGGAAGGGAAAAAGACGAGGGTAGGAATGATCGTGCGCGATCCATGACCCGTTTGTTAAGGTACTTCTCAGACATTCGTCTGGTGTTGGTCCGAGAAACGTCGATCGTTAGAAGTCTCGTCCAGCAAGCGGCTGATTCGACTTCCCTCTCTAGCTGGAGTCGACAATCCGCCCCAATGGAACTCGAACCCTAGAACAGACTGCATTGGCAACAGCTGCCGTCATGCGTGATGTCCCGGCTTACGATTGGATTCACCGATGCAGCTTGTACATTCCATGCAAAACGGTAGAGCGGTAGAAAGTTTTTTCCCATTTTCCCCCAACTTTTCTTTTCGGCAAAATATTCCGAGACAACGCGGCTCGTAATTAACAAACACCATAGCGAACTTAAATATCTTCTGTATTAACAATATACTAACGATAGGTGAATGTTTTTATTACAATTTATACGACATAAAACCATGTTAAGCTGCTGCTGTTAAACTCTGTTAAGTTGCTGCTGTAGGAGAAGGAATTACTTCTCGGCATTCAACAGATTTAAGATAGAAATATAAGTTTGCAAATTGCACGAGAAGAAATTACGAGGGCCACAATTTATGTTTTGAACCTAATAATGAAAAAAATAGTAGTTTGTCGTTGAAAAGTGCTTTATCGTTTTTCGAAGTATTCTCCTTTGTGATCAATGCATTGAGTTATCATCAATGCATTGCATCAATGCACGAGTTCGAACCATCTGTCATAGGATTTTTCCAATCTGCCTGAGATACCTCCAACACATGGTTTTTAAACGCAACAACGGTTTCTTCCACCGATGAAAATCGTTGTGCATACAATTTATTTTTGACGTACAAGAAAAAGAAAAAGAAGAAGAAAAGAAAAAGTAGGAGGAGAAGAAGAAAAGAAGAAGAAGAGAAGAAGAAGAAGAGAAGAAGAAGAAGAGAAGAAGAAGAGAAGAAGAAGAGAAGAAGAAGAAGAGAAGAAGAAGAAGAGATGAAAGAAGAAGAGGAGGAAGAAGAAGAGATGAAAGAAGAAGAGGAGGAAGAAGAAGAGGAAGAAGAAGAGGAAGAAGAGGAAAAAAAGAGGAAAAAGAAAAGGAAGAAGAGAAGAAAAGAAAAAGAAGAAAAGAAAAAGAAGAAAAGAAAAAGAAGAAAAGAAAAAGAAGAAAAGAAGAAGAAGAAAAGAAGAAGAAGAAAAAGAAGAAAAGAAGAAGAAGAAAAGAAGAAGAAGAAGAAGAAAAATAAGAAAAAGAAAAGAAAAAGAAAAAAAAAAGAAGAAGAAGAAGAAGAAGAAGAAGAAGAAGAAGAAGAAGAAGAAGAAGAAGAAGAAGAAGAAGAAGAAGAAGCCATTGGGTACCAAATCAGGGCTGTGCGGTGGATTACCCATCTATTCGATCTGAGTGTTCAAATAGTCGGTTGTTAGCTGAGATGGTGAGCGCTCGCATTGTCTTGTTGAAGAATGATCCGACGGCGCTTGTTTATTTTCCGTGATTCAACGAAGACTTCCTGCAAACAAATGGTTGTGTACCATTCAGAATACCCATGCCACATGACCAGTTTTCCGAAAACAAAGGCGACCATTAGTTTCGAAGTGTTTTGAGAGCGAACAACTTTTGTTGGATTTGGTTCATCTTGAAACACCCACACGTTTTGCGTTTTGTATGCACCAATTCACACAATAATTTATTTTTTTTAATTTCGTCAAATTATGTGGGATCCAACGAGAACAAACCTTTCTTGCGGTTAAATAATCAAGCAATGTATAATATATGCTGGTGGAACTGCCTCTATCTTAGTATGTCGCATGACGATCTTGCACTATCAGATTTTGAACAGCGTCAATATCTTCAATCACGATTCTGGACAACCTTCACTAATTTCGTCAGTGAGCGAACGGCGGAGAGGGACGGGGGAGGGAAAGGGAGAGGGAAAGGGAGAGGGAAAGGGAGAGGGACGGGGAGAGGGACGGGGAGAGGGACGGGGAGAGGGACGGGGAGAGGGACGGGGAGAGGGACGGGGACAGTGAGCAAGATGGAGAGAGAAAGGGAGAGGGAAGGATAAAGAGAGATGGAGGGCAGGCATTTGCCGGGTTCCGCTACTATCATAAAAAACAAAATGCATTTTACTGAAATCTGACAAAGGTTTGAAAATGACGTTGGTACTCAAAGCAGAATAATGTGGCACTTGTGAGCAATAAGTGGTACACTCTAAAAGGGAGGGCTCGGAGTGACAACGATGTTGGTACAAGCGTACACATTTCTCTAGTTGCAGGGGTTGAGTAAGCCCCAAGTTAGATCCATTCGCTCAAAAAGACAGATGTACAAGTGTTGCCAGGCGCAGGGCGGGGGCCTCAGGGCGCGGGGACGGGGGAATGGTCGGGTTTGCCTTCTCGACGCCGACGGCACAATCAATCTGGGTGGCGAGCATAACACCCCCGCCGGAATTCCCCCTTGCTTGGTCCTCCTTTGAAAAAGAGGCTGTGAGTACCATTCCCATTTTGTTTTTTAACTAACGCATTTATTAGGTCATAATAAACTGAAGCAATTTTTATTTTCCGCAATATGACCCCACGTTGGTGAAACATGCCTCTTCAAAGTCAACCGGTGATTTCTAGCTTCAACTTGCCTTGCTTGTATCTCAAGGGAAAGACACAGCGAAGGGGGTAAGAATGGGTTTATTGAACCCACTTAGATCATTAGTCTCGTGAGTAGTGAATTATATAACGGGAAGTGGCAGTGTTCCTCACCCGCTGAGACGTGCGCTCCAGTACTGACAAAGTACACGTCAGAGTGCGGGGGCACAATTCTCCAGCGCAGCACCCAGTCCTTCCAAGCCCAACTGGCTTCAGTGTGGGGCATGAATGTGGTGTCATGTCTAAGGCGAACGGATGGGCCAAGGCGACAAAGATTGCGAGCGTGGCGCGATCCCTGGGATCTCCTGCTGGCCTTACCTCAGCAATACTTTCCGCATTATCTTTCAGCAATTTGTTTCTGCTTGCTGTCATCTTCACACTAGCAAGAGCATGGAGTGGCAATATATTGTCAGAAAGATCAGAGCAAGATCTTTCCGTCAAGATATTGCCGATCGTTTTACATTAGGGCTATTTGTTGACGTGTTTGGTGACGTCACGAGCAAAATGGCATGTGAACTTAGGTGAGTTCTAGATCACTTCCCGACAACCAGTGGAAGGCAGAAGATGCTACTCGCGGTTGCACTTATTGAGCAACATAAGGAGACGAAGTAACGGCGACGATTGGTGAGGTCGTGTGACTGGATTTTAAGAAGAAAGGAAAAGGAGGCTTGTGCGAATTAGGAAGAGGAGTCTCAATATTTTTCGTAAAACAAAATGATTTCGTGGACTTCGATTCACGTGGGAGCAAAGTAATTTTCTTTTTACAGAAAGTGCAATTACTAATTCGGTAAAAAGTTTTAAAATATCCT